GGCTGATGCTGCCCAAATTAAAGGGCTGGAATCTATATGCTGAACAACATGTCTGGGGTCCTGATTTGCTCTGGGGCTTGCTGTGTACCCTCTCCAGCAGCTGAGCTTCACAGGAGACGTAGATGCTCAGGAAACCGAACCTGTGGCCCACCCTTGTCACTGCTGCTGGCATTTGTTCCTAATTTCTTGTGTGTGTGTTTGTTGTTTACAGGGTTTTTCATTCCTGGGTTCCCGAAGCTGCAGCGGTTTCAAGCCCACCATGAGCAGATTTTAAGCAAACTGTTTCCAAAGCTGAAGAAGCACATGGTACCTCTTTGTTACTGGCTTTTAAATGCTAATGTTGCACTTTGCGTGACAGCGATTAATATAATTTCTTCTCTTATATATATTCATAACCTCCTGGGTGTTCCTCATCATAGAACTGCGTCAGCCGTGGGGGAAGCAGGTATTTAGCTAAACAGCATGTCTTCTAAACACTGCTGAAGTGAATTATTTGGATTTCATGGCTTGCCACCAGCATTTGTACAAGAGCTTCTACTGCTTCCAGACTAATCTTGGATGGCAAGGAGAGGAAGGTGTATCCATGTGTGGAAAAGGAATTATTTCAGGCACTAAAAGGGCATAGGTGCATTGTGCTGGCCATAAATCCTTCAGGGTGTTATCTCCTTCCATGAAAGGTGCTGGAAAGCTCAGAGCTTTCACTTTACAGTGCTTGCTCTGGGCTGCCCACATGTTTCTCATTTAACCTCCTCCCATGCCAGTCCTGCTGTTTGGGTAGGTTTCCTTCCTTCTAACACAGGGAGACAGGAAATAGGAGAACTGATGTGATGGTTCATTTTGCTGGCTTGGCCTCCTCAGTTGTGTTTCTTGCTAGCAGATGGTATGGGACCAGTTGTCAGCTGGAGCAGCACGTGCAGGATAAGATTGAAGCCTGACAGCTAACCAGCTACTCTGAGACACCTGCTTCTCCTTTTTCGCATGTATTTTCAGACGCTTGGAATTCGGAGCCAGGCTCCTGAAGGCTTTCTACCCTCCCAGAGGGGCTCAGTGGCATGTTGCCAGGAAAAGCCATTTGTATTGTTATTATCCAAAATAGCTGTTGCTTAGGGCTGCCAACAAACCAGCCCTGGTTGTACAAGTGTAATGCAACCAGGACGGGTTTTCACTTAATTGCAACCATCAAGAGCAGGGGTGGGGAGAAGCACATCCCAGCCAACAGGAACATAAATACTTTCATTCTAAAGACTCCAGGAGCCAATAAATACTGAATAGAGAGCAGGCTGTGTTCTCTATAGGGCAGCGTATGGGAAAGCCCAGTCCTTCTGCTCTTAGCAAAGGGGCCTGGGGCTGGGGTCTGACTGTCCTACACAGAGTGGTCATAGCCTGAGTACTGAGGTAAGCTAGCTTTCTTCAGCTAACTGGCATGTGACCAACCAGCTGTAAGGTTTAGATACTTGTTTTGACCTATCTGTCCCATTACAGGACCTAGTCATTTGTGAGACTAAGTTAATAGTGAAGGTGGAAAGGGGCTTTGGGGATGGGGGGATATAGGGAATTTCTATAGTGGCACAGAAAGACTCTTACCCTCACTACTCCCAGCACCCCAGCTGGGCTGATGATGAGTGCAGCTGCTGGCAATTGGCCCAGAAAACCTGCTAGCACAAATCCTCTCCTATGGGGCTAAGAAAGCATCCAGAAATTGGGCTGCAAATGTACAGATAATTTGGGTTCAGCAAGAAACTCTGGCTACAGTTGAACTGGTTCTTCCTATTGTTGTTTCAAGAAGGGACAAGGGAAGTGTTCTGGATTAAATGGTGCTTCATAGGTCCATCTGGAGCCTGGCAAGCTGTTTCCAGGACTCGTGCCCAGTACAGCATTAAAAAGAAAAGTATTAAGTTTACTCGCTGTCTCTAGCAGCCTGTCTGGTGCAATGAATGTTTCTTCATTTGCTGTCTTGCTCTAGGACAAGGAGCAGATGACTACGGGGATATACACAACCAAGTGGTTCCTGCAGTGCTTCATTGACCGAGTGAGAACTATTTGTAGATTATCTTCCATTTAGTAATGTTTGGCCCCCATGATGGATTTGCTTTGCTGTTAACTGTGAATCTTTGCCCAGTTTTTATTCAGACAGGATTCTGTGAATATTTTATAGGGCATGATGTTGTGAATATCTTCATGAAGTACATGCCTGGCAGCAGATCAGCTTAAAATAACTCCGTGCTTCTCAGTGGCAGTGACAAGCAAGCTTTCACTGTCATCACAAATAATAGCCAAAAGCCTGTTTTTGTGGCAGAAGCATAGGCTTGGGAGTCAAGAGATTTTTCTCTCCCCTGCTTCTGGCTCTACTTCAAACTTGCAAAGATAATTAACCTCCTGGAGTCTATTTCCCCACCTTTATGCAGAGGATAGCAGCACCCACCTCACTGCGGAGCAGCCAGTGACATTTGTAAAGAACTTTGGAACTGTTCAGTACAAATTGAAGCGCAAAGCTTAATGTTAATGTTGCATGAATTAAATTAACTGTTAAGACCCAAATTTTCAAGCTATGGGAAGTAGGTGTTGGGACTTAATACATAGCCCCACAACAGCACAATAGTACAGGATGATTTGCATGATCCATAAAGCACTTGCAGCTCTCTTTGGCTTCCCTCGGAAATAAGGTTGCATGACACCTTTGAAAATCAAATGACTCCTATTTAAGTGGTTCTGGGTCATGCCCTAAAAGCTTCTTACGGTCCTTCTAAAACACTCCAGCATACAGGAATCAGTGGTATACATAAGAGCCTGTGCAGCTCCTCCTTTTCCCCTGCAACACCTCTGTGTCCATGTGGAGTGGCAGTAGGTGGCTCTAGGCCACACAAGGACTCATTTGCATTAGAGAAGTCCCCTACCCTATGGCCTACAGAGTACCATTGTGCAACCAGATGGTACAAAGAAGCCTTAGACTGGAGTGACTAACCTGTGGCACAGGGAGTCTGTGTCTGGTATGCAGTAGATCAGAGAGGGGGCAGGCAGCAAAGTGGCAAAGGGCAGGACGCAGAAAGCAGAGCAGCAGATCAGCTGGGAGCACAGAAGTGGGACCAGAAAATGAAGGAGCAGCTCGGGCAGAGGAAGTGGATCAGACAGAGTGGCACTCAGGGAGGGTAAGGGGCTACTTTGTGGCACACCTGCCAAAAAGGCTGGTCCCCACTGCCCTAGACAGTCAGGCCTAGGGTGTCCAACTTAAACGGGCCATTGGCTCTTGGGCTGCACCTTGAAAATAGCGAAGCTGTTATATATTTGCAGAACTTGGATGTAAGGAGCATGGCTTTGCAAGATAAGATGTCCTGTAATTATGCTTAGGCTGACTGTTCTCACCGTGCAGTCCCAAAGAAAGAACTTGTGTCCACCTTCGCTGTGGCTGCTTGGCCAGCGAAGTGGTGTTGACTACTATTTTTAACCAAAGGTGATGGGGATGTGTATGCCTGTGTGCCACAGTCCCCAAGTGCATCTGTCTAGTCAGCATAGCCTCAGGGAGAAGGGTCTGGACCATTCTAACCAGCTTCCTTTTCATGTACAGACGCCATTTACTCTCACCTTGCGGCTGTGGGATATCTACATCCTGGAAGGAGAGCGGGTTTTGACAGCTATGGCTTACACCATCCTCAAGCTGCACAAAAGTAAGGCATTCAATAGGATGACTCAACTTTTCTGTGTGGCACAGGTGATCCCATTGTTAGAGCCTGGGATTTGGGTTTTAGAATTTAACCTCCATAGGCAGAAGGGTTTATGAAAAGAAAAACCCAGCATGGCTCTGAAAGTCTTTCTCATGCTCTAATTGGTCTCCTAGAGTTGCATCCATTCATACCATGCCTGAATTTAGCTCATTTTTGGTTGAACATGAGGCCTCACTATTGATTTTTATTTCCCTGTCATTGGATTCATTTAAATATGGTACCACAGCAACCTCTGCTGGGTACCACAGAAGGGTGCAGCTTTTGGCATCCTCAGCAGGCCCTGGTTGGAGCTCTGGTTTAGGCAGATACACAAGCATTGGTTGGTTATGTTGGTTGCAGTTTGAACCCACAGTGTACTGTTCCCACTTCAGCAAAGGAACATCTCCTCTGCTGAGGCAGTAACACAGAAAACATTCCCCTACGTTGAATTCTTCCACCCAGTGTATACAGCTGTGTACTTATGTGGCACATTGTTCTGCCACCAGCTACTCTGGTATGTGTGAGATAGTTTCCCTTTGAAGTATTTCAGGAGGATTGTAAAGACCTTTCTAAGATGTTAGCGGACCTATTTTTATTTTCCATGCCTCCCCCTGCAAAATTGTGTTTCTTAGTTCAATTTAGTAGGAGTGAGAGGGGGAAAGAAAAATGTGTGAACTTTTTTTTAAATGTAAAAAAGCTAAAATAGCTTTTCTCAAAATAAAAACTATCACTGCCCTAACATTAGGTTTCCTGAGACCCTTAGGACTCTGTGGGGTAATTCCTATTGGTCTCACTGGGAAGCCAGAAATCTCTTTTTTCCTGGTGCTAATTCTCCTTTGCATCCCTGGCAGGTCATAAGATTGAGACCTGATCTCAAACCTATGACTGGGCAAGGAGTGAAGTATTGTGGGGGCCTGGAGCCTGTGGAATTTTTTCAATAGAGGAGGTTAAAAAAAAGGGGAGGGTGCAGAAGTTTAAAGCTGCTCGGAAATGTGAAATATTGCAACTCAGGCAAGCGGGCAGGCTGCAGGTGATGTGATCGGAGTTGCATGAGAGTGCCATTTATTAGAGGCATTTGCAGTCTGTCATATGACGATCGCTTTTAGGTTAGTGGGGTTCAATTTGTGACTGTGTCTGTGCAGCCTGTCTGTACTTTCACGTCTGGAAATATCCATTCCAAGCGTGTGGTACTTTTTATTAAGATAACCTTCTTGGCAATTAAAAATATACAGGACCTGGGTTATGCCTATGAGGGGAACAAAGAGGAAGGCTGGGAAACGGAAGCCTTGATGCACTGTGGGGTAGGATTGGTAGCCCACTGCAGTCCTTCTTGTGATGTCACAGATGGCTGTCAATCATCTGTTTGATACCTGAATAGTGGGAAGCACCAGTTCTGAGGGGCTGCCCTGAATGGCCCCAGGCTGGGTCCCTGTGTTGCATTACTTGTCTTCGCAGCACACATAATGTGCAACCATACTCCCCCTAGCGGTGTAAGAGAACTCTCACAAACAGTCGTGAAACACACAAGCGCTTCCCCTTCACTTCTGTCCCCATGAATCGAGCCGAGACCCTGATTTTATAGTATGCAAATGTGCTTCCTTTAAGCTTATGACTGATCCTGTCATGTCATGTGTTAATTGACTCTCGAACCACACCTGGGACTCAAAGTTCACTTGAGATAGAGAACCACAAACAGCCCCTGAGAGACGGAAGCCCTCCTTTGACATGCATTGTTTCTTCTTCCCCAGATATTAATTTTGACATGTAAGCAACTTCCCTGCTGTTATTAGCTTTAAAACAGCTGATCCAGTCAAATATACTCTGCACCTAGCCAGGTTAGCCAGAAAAAATCTAATTGTGGTACTATGATGGCCTCTTATTGCACTGTGCTTTCTGCCTTCCACTAGAACGCTTGCTGAAGATGTCCCTGGAAGACTTACGGGAATTCCTGCAGGAGAAAATTTCTTCATCTCTGCACTATGAAGATGATGCTGTTATTGAACAACTGCAAGTGTCCATGGTCGAGCTGCGCAAAGCAAAATTTGACCTTCCGCCCCCAGGTAGGTCTAGCATTAATTCCATAGGTTCCCTACAGCCTAGGATGAGTCCAGCCTGTTGGAATTATTAACCCCTTTTTGCCAGTTCTAACCATATCCTTCAGACTAATGGAGTTTTTGCTAACCCTGGCTGGCCATCAAAGGCTGACTGCTGTGTGGTATAGGGATTGCACAGGGGATGACATGGTCCTGCTGTCCCATTCCATTTGAGATCTGTCACAGACAGGGTGATCTGGGGCACAGGTGAATTTGTGTCACTGCTCTGGTTTGAGGCCAAGAGTTTCTCTGGCAATGTGAGGCTGGATTTGTCAGAAAAGCCAAGCACCCAGCTCTGACAGCTGTCACTAGAAACCCATCGCTGCTGGTGTTAGCGCTGCAGTTGGAACTGAACTCTTGAAAATTTGGCTCCTGGAGTGATTTGTCAGTTGTGATTTTTCACCCTGAGTTGTGTGTCCATGTTTGTGTTTGTGTATGTGTGTGCGCGCATGCATCTGCTGCTCCCAGCCATGTCATTGCTCAGGACACTCAGCATCTTTACATGTTTGAATAGAAGCAGAGGTTGCACCTGCAGCATCTGTGTGCTGCCTTACTTAATCAGGGTCCCCGTGTGCGTGAACTTTCCAGTCATTGGCCTCTGTCATGCCAGTGAGAAGTATTTTGTGTGTCATGCAGGGTTAGGGCTGCCATGGTAACTGCCCTCGAGGTGAGTGGCTAGAGCCCCCTCTGCATAAATCCTTCCTCAGGCACAATGAGAAGGAAGTCTTCTAGTACAGAAGCATGTATGGCAGAATAAATGAGATGTTCATTAGCTGCCTAGAGAAACTACCCCCTGCCCCCACCAGTAAGGCGAAGAACACCAGTTTAGAGGCACTGCATGTAGTCTTCAGTTCTCTCCCAGTTCATTTTGGTTCGTTCCTCTATCAGATGGAAACTAGAAAGTGCCCAAGGGCCATGGGGTTCTGCAGACTTCACGTCAGGGAGGGTTGGAGGCAGTTTGACTTTAATCTGAGCTCCCAGCGAATATCTGAACAGACAAGTAATTCTGGTCTAATGGACAGCCACAGCATAACACAACACCTGACTCCATATTAAGCCCCAACAGAATAAAAACTTTTGTTGTTAAATGAGCCCTGCTAGAGATTTCCTTTTATACACTATAGAGGACCTGCATTAAAGCATGCCTTTTTCTCCATTGCAAGTTACTGTTAAGCATAACAATCCCAGCTTCTATAACTACCCTATGAAATAGCCAACGTGTTAATGACTCAGGGACCCATTCTGCTGGTCAGATAGTATCTCATCTAAATCTAAATTGATTGCTGCATTTGTGTTACTGATAGTTTCATTAAGGGGAGAAAGTGCTCAAGCTTGGAAGTGATAGGGATGCTCTGAGTCAAATCCTGACATGCGTGATTTAGGAAGAAGGCAACTGGACCACAGCTAGCCACAGAAGAACTAACTGGTTCTGTCTACATCAACAGAGAGTCAGGCTTGGACTCTTGACAGTACCCAAAGGGATGGGCTGCATAAGTCCCTTTGATACACAGGCACCTACCTCCCTTAGGATTTCTCCCCCAGCAAAATAATCATTAGTAGAAAAGAAACTGTGCCTGGAAACAAGACATTTAAATGACAGAGGGTGAGGGTGGCCCTGGTGGAACATGAGGGTACTGAGCTGGGATTCTGTCAAGGCATCGGTGTAGTTTAAAGGCTCTGCTGTGTGATGGAGCAGTCACAGGCAGAAGGGCTCTGGAAAATGAACGAATGACCCACCATCATTGTCTCTCACCTGCAGCTTGTGTTGAACAACTAGATAGTTTTTTTCTGAAGAGCTGATGTTAGCATGATAAAATCTGAACCCCTGCCACTAGCTCATGGTAAGGGCTTAGGAAAGGACTTACTGAATATGAGCTAACCTGTCCTTGTTTGGGTTTTTCTTTTCTCTGTAGCAAAGCCTGAAGAATTCCCCAAGAAACCACTGGGACTGGAGCTTTCTCTAAATCTCATGGCAGTGAAGCCCAGCATTGCAGCCAATGGCCAGAATAAAACAGTGGGTGACCTCAGTCCAGAAAGAGATGCAAAGCAGTCACTGCCAAACAATAGCCCCATACATCTGAATGATATTACCTGCAATGCGACTGTGGCAATAAAGGACAGGACTCTTGCGCTGCAGCAGGACAGATCTCCCTCCCCAGCAGCAGCAGCCACCACAGACATGCATCAGGATCCATTAAAGGACCATGAGGAAACCCAGCAAGGAGGGAAGAAACAGGTGGAACCACCAAAGGAAGCTACTAGTGAAAGCCCATTGCAGGAGTTGTCTTTGCCAGAGGAGAATGAAATTCAGGCCCTCCTGGAAAGCCAGGATATACCTGCAGTGAGCAGGATGACTGCCTCCCAAGAAGATCCTCAGGTCCTTAGTGCTGGGAGATGTAAAGAGGACCTGCAAGAAAATTCTCCCTCTCCTGATGTTGGCAACACAGGCTGCATTGTTCCTTCGGCTGCTCAGTTGCCGACACTGCCACAAGAACAGCCTGATGGGGTAGCAGTGGACAGCTTGGCTAGTGAGATGGGTGAGCCAAGCCAGAACCCCCAGGGAGATTTGCCCATTGATCACAACCACACGTCAGCAGGAGGAGAGTCCCCAGAGCCAACTCCATCTCTCCCCTCCCTCACGGAGCAGAGCTCCTTGGAATCCACCATTCCAAATGCGCCAAGCCCTCAAGACACGAGCACCACCACCTCCTCTGTGGATTTACCGGAAGGAGTTGCTCCGCCCTCTCTGGAAGAACAACCGTGGCCTCCGTGTCCAGAGTTCTTCCCACCATCAGAACAGGATCTTGCTCCTCAGGCTTTGCCAGAGGAAGCGCAAGCGCCTCTCATGGGCATGGAGAAGACTCTGGTAACTCTCCCTCTTCCTGTCCTGGATGGAAGGCGACGGCCTTCTAATGTGTCTCAGTATGATAACTTTCCTGAGTGGGAGAGCAGAGAGGACAAACCTTCTGGGCAGGCATCCAGCATGGAGAAACTCAGTGGCATGATGCCACATGAGAAACTGGATCTCAAATGCTCGATACCCAAATCAGCATCCGTGGGTGAGATTGCAGATCTGCAGAGGCATGTGCGTGGGTGCGGAGACTCAACCCAGCAGCCCCTGGGCCTGGGCTGCTCAGCCTTCAACTCCCTCCCTCACCAAAGGCCTTCTGGCAGTGGTGGCAGTGTGCCAACCTTACCTACACTTGGCCCCAGGGTGGTTCAGCTGGCAGAGGGTCTCCGTTTCCACCATATGTCATCCCCAACCGTGAAGGGGCAAAACAGCCCCTTTAAAATTGTAAAGACCACCACCCCACTTCATTTGGCTCACGCCACAGAGCAAGACTGCTTGAACAGAAAGCGAATAGCACTGCCTTTGCAAGAGGCTAGCCCTCACATGGCTGCTGCCTGTAGGGCAGATGGTGGAGGGGACCTTCCTCCCACAGCAGAACTCAAGGCTGCGGCTGCCAAAAAGACTGTCCAGACAGCAGTAAATGTGCTGAGGGATCCACGTCCCCCTCTCAGCCCAAAGCCAAAAATACCACCCAAGATTGCCAAAACCCATTCAGAGAACAGTTTTCATCTGCCCCCTTGGCCCCCAGCACAAATGTCCAAATCAGAGACATTTTAGCAGGGCTAGAGAGTGAAGAGAGGACTCTCATCATATTACCTTGTCTGTTCTAGAGACAACCTGAAAATAAGGTTTGCCTCTAAAAGGCAACGCTGTCCAGGGTAGAGAGAGGAGGCGATGGCAGGTTGGGTTGTGCTTGGTACGACTGCCCAGGGCAACGCTAGGTTCGACAGGAGTCGGAGTTGTTCTCAGTATTACAAATGTGCTGGTACCAGGAGGCGGTTAAAAAATATCCGTGCTTTCTTTTCTATGAACAAATCACAAAGTGCTTTCAATTTTTTTTTGATTCCCATCATTCATGTGGTGAGAGAGAGAGGCAAAACTGGTCAATCTTTTCTCCAAGAAAAGTTCTTTGGGTCATGGCCCTGAGTTTAGTTTCTGTGAACACAAGAACAGCCCTGACGCAGAGAAGTCTGAACCGTTCTTCCAGGCAGGCAGGAAGCACTGGAGAGAGAAGAGAGGCTTTCTTTAGAGACAGACAAGGGCTCAGTCAGTGTGGCTGGTAGCATTTCATTCAATGCCTTGCAGCAGTAGATTTGTTCGGTGTCCTTGTATTGTGCAGCTTTTCGCACAAGATTTGGTAGTCTCAGCCAGGGAGCCAGCCTTCTGTAATGTCTATGCAATAGTCAGCTTTATGCCAGGTGTCCCATGGAGCACTGCTTTGCATCTGTGCATCCTCTCACTGAGAGTGAAATGGGACCATGGAGCCTGCCCCTCCTTGTTTTCCAGCTCCCTTCGTACAGGAGATTTCCTGAAGGGGAGCTGAATGCTCTGTGCAGATCACTTCCACTGTCCTCATTTGGGGTTATGTAGTGTTACAACAAAGGAAACTCAGAAAGCCAAGTTCCTTTCTGATGCAAGGGGAGGCTGAGGTGGGTGAGTTGACGAAGCCATGCCCCTTCCCATGATAGGCTCACACAGGTTCATTGAACACACGCTGTTTCCTTGAATCCCCACGGGTGATGAAAGGCTGGATCTCAGCTGCTGTGAGTTCTCCAACATCCTGTCTGCTGTCCTTTTCTCCAGGCAGCGAGGATGATGATGTATACTGCCTTACAGCTGATGAAAAGAGAAGTAAGGAGGCTGCTGCCGTAGTCATTTACTAACCCCCATATAAGTGGGTTAATAAGATGGGGGTAGTATTTCCATTGGTAAATGGTGGAGGTACCGTATTTTCTTACATACGACACACATCTTTCCCCTCCCCCCAAAATCAGCTTGCTAGAATTGGGATGCATGTTTTAAGTGGGGAAGCTGTTTTCTTTGCTGGAAAAGGAGCATGCCCAGAGATGCTGTTTAGACCAGCCAGCTGTCAAGAAGGCTGCCACTTGTGTCTGCTCAGCACACTGAAAGGGCAGCTCTCTTGCCGCCCTAGCTGTTGGCTGAGTGCAGAAGGTTGTGCCCAAAGCAACATGTGAGCTATTGATAGTATCTTAATGAGGCTTGTGATGTGAAAACAGGAACTTGTATAAAGAAGTTCTTACAATTAAGAAGTAAAAGTCTGGCTGCTGCCCTTTGCAAGGGCCTGAGGCCTAACGCTGTGTGACACAGTAAGTCCTCCTGGGATCATAGTTTCCAAGAAAGGTGGCACCACAGGAGATAATCTGACACATCGGTAAAGTTCTGGATGCCATGCTTTTTGGACACACTGTTTCCAGGAGGACCTACTTTATCTCTGACTCTGGAAAAATATTTTCTCTACTTCCTGCCTTTCCAAAACAAACTGGGTTTTTTATTTGGGTGGGGGGGGTGGAGTTGTATGTGAGAAAATATGATAATTTTGCTTTAGCTACCAAGTCAGCAGAGTGTAATAGGATTTTGTGGCAGCTTCTCAGCAAAACGTCCAAGACTAGACTGGCCCCTGCTCAGGTCAGGTGAAACATCAGCGTAGAAAGTCCAGTGGAGTTGGAAAGGAACCAGACTTCCCAAAGCCTCAGCTCAGACCTTCACAGAACTGGAAGTAAATCAACACAGCGAGCAGTGTGCAGGGCTATTAACTTAATAGCCTCAGGAGCTCCCGTTCTGTTTCCACCTATGACAAAGCTCCTTTCTTTAATGCTTGGGCATGTTGCTTAGCCTGGCTGTCAGGTCATCCTCAGCTGTGAAATGGGTAATCATACTTACTGACCTGCCTACCTGACAGGGGTGTTTGTGAGGATTAATTAGATGATGTTGCCAGCGCCCTCTGCAGAGGAAAAGCACAACCTCAGTGCTAAGACACGTTAGTCTGAGACACCACAGACACCATCATTGAAATACAAAGGACAAAGTTGCTTCAGTTGGCTTTAATTTAAGCATGTTTTGCAATAGTTGTGCAGTAGTTAGGAAAGTCATATGTTTGTGCATTTAATACCTGGACAGTATTTCAGGCAAGTATTCGGTCACCTTTAATTACGAACAGCAGGCCGTTGGCTTCTAGAGCTCAATAGGAAGTCATGGAAAAGGCTGCAGTCAGCTGGTTTCCATGCAGTGGGATCTGGTCTCCCCTCCAAGTGCACACATAACCTCCCACTTACCTTTAGGAGCTGAGCTCACGCATCTGACAGGAGGCAAGATCCCTTTTCCTCCCCGTGACCTGTCTCCATGCTTGTGTCTGCTGTTTGTAATGACAGTAGGCACTGTGAGCTCAGAGGTAGAGTATCTCTAGGGCATCCTGTTCTTGCTTTTGGCGGCAATAGGCCTGGAATGTTCAATAGCCGACAAAAGCATGATAAAGCCACCACGGGGAAACCTTTCTCCACTCTGGATTTGGGGTGCACATTTCCTGTTCTCAGGAAAGCCTGCGTTGGGGCAAGGCACTTGGGCTAATTCAAAGCATGTACTATTCAAAAGACATCATGATGATCCTCTCCCATCTGAGATGTAGGCCTACAGCCGGCTCTGAAACCTGTAAAAGCTAGTGGAAGGACTCCTGTCCCCTGACTTCGGATCAGGTGGCTAACAACCTTGGCCACTTGGTCTAAGTGATGCTAGGCTGTGTTGTGCAGAAATGCCTTGACTAGAGACCACAGATCCCTGCCTACAGGCCTGTCTTGCCCCTTGAGTCAGTGCCAAACAACCTGGGTGAAGGCATGACTTCTCCATTCCTGCCAGATTAGGAACCTAATGTTTCATACATTATTAAGACCTGGTAGTTTGAGCTAGGGAGCAGGACATGTTATCAGGCTGAGTAGGTACAGGGAAAACCTTGAGCTTGCTTGTCAGTCAAATGCTTCTGAACCTGGCTGAAAGGGTGGAGGCTGGTCTGGAGATCAGCTGCTTCCCCACAGACAGAGCTGAGGTGAACCTGTGCTCAGGCAACCCCAGTTAAGTCAGGACAGGGCCTTAGTGTGGGGGGTTTCTTGATCGTCTCTTGTGAACTGCTGCAAAGGTCTGTGTCCTTTGCTGCAGCCTGGGAAGCATTTCTGGACGAGGGGCAGTGTTAAGCCCCATACAAAGCCAGTTGAGCTGGCCCAGTTTCTGGGAAGTGATGCTTCACTCTGCAGCAGACCTGTTACTTTTTTGTTTAGTCTGTTTAAAACATCAGTAATCCATGTATTCATTCCTGTTTCTGTCTGCTGTTGGGTCCAGTCCCCTCCCCCATCCCCTGTATGAAGAAGCAGCCTCCCCTGACTTGTTCCTTTCTTTGGAGCTGTTTATACTGCACCCATCACCCCTCAGGTGTCTGAACTCCATGGACAGTGCCGTGATACAGGGGATAGGAGCAATAGTGCCCAGCATCAGGCACGTGGAAGGTGGGGGGAATCAGGCGGGAGGAAATCCTCAGGGCTGTGATGGAGAAGCAGGACCCAGGCCCTCCTACAAAGGACCAACTCTGAGGATACCGCAGACAGGTGGCAAAGCCAGTGTTGCAAACTCAGGAAATCAGCTGCCTTTGCCCCACGGCTGGCTCGTTCCACGTCAGGTGAAACGGACTGTGTGAGATAAGCTGGGCCTTGCTGGTTTGGTGTCCTTGTTTTGTTGTCTGTAAACTAGCACTTTGCGCATGGGGGGGAGCAGGAGGGGTGTTGTGCAGCAGGAGTGTCAGCGTGCCCCCCCAGTGTCACCGTGATCACCTCCACGTGTCCTGGGAGTCGGGGCAGGGGCTCTCAGTGCACTTTGACAGACCGGCCGCGGTTGGCTTTTATCTGTAAGCGCTCTCCTTGTTTATGGCGTGGGCTGCGCCCTCCCATCATTCTTGTCCTAACGTATTATTATTATTTTAAACTATTTTTTATGTACATCATGCTTTCTTCTCCTTTCTCTTTTTTTTTTTTTTTTTTGGGAAGGCTGTTTGAAAGGCACAGCACAGCGTGCCTTCCTTTCCCCCTGCTCCCACCAGCCTGTACATAGCGTCCCAGGCGGTGGTTGTCATAACTGGTAAAGGAGTTTAGCACCAGTGGCTGCAGATGTTCCTTCACACACAGCGTGCCACAGCATCCTCTGGTCTCAGAACTGTCACCCCAATGTCTTGCCTTGGGGGAGCAATGTGGCATGGCTGCTGCCCCATTAGGTGGGACCCCACCATTTTTATGCCGGACCTGCGCCCATCCACTCTCCTGGTCACTGCACACACTGCTGTCTTGGCTCCTCTGTGGGTCTGGCTGCTCTCACTGCATCCTGGGCCCAGTGATCTCTGAGGCAGGCATTTGCCTTGGGACATGAATAACCTGCCTTGCTGCAGAGACTGATATATGGCCAGAGGCTTTGCCCTGTGACAAGTGCTGGTGAGCTGCAACAGCCCTGGAGAGAAGCATCTCATCTCGGCACAAGATCCAGTGGAGTAAAACCAGTATGAAGTCGGGGCTGTCCAGTTCTCCAGGTGGGGAATGGAAATGTGCCTGCCCCCCCCCCCCCCCCCGCCCCCCAGCTTCCATGCAGCCAGCGGAGCCTTCTAACAGAGGCCTGTGGTGGCAGCATGGACGCGTGCCTGCTGTTTCTTGCAGTGTAAATGGCTTATCTGGCCCTGAAGCCTCAGTAGTGAGCGTGCCCAAGAGAATGGCCAGTGGAGTCTGATTATCAAAGTATCACAGCTCAGGAAGGCTATATACTCTATTCACGGGGAACTCAGCCCCCACCCCGACCATCGGGCCTATTCTGTGGGAGGCCATGTAACTTTACAGGGCAGAGGGAATTCAGTCCTTGCGGTGCAGGAAACGCTACTGGTGAGTCAATACGTGGTAACTGCCCTGTGCCTAGGCACTGACATGCCCACAGGGGGCAGGTGCCTGATTCAGCTGACTTGCAAGAGGCAACCATCAGGTGTGGCCTATTGTGCTCTGTCTTTAATTCCCTACTTGGAAGTTCTGCCTTTTCTCTCACTGGATGCAATATTTTTCCCTGTTAAATTGCACTAGTGCTGCAGTTTCTCACTGGGGGTGACTGTATGAACAAGGGGCAATATGGTTCTAGCAGCCCTTGAGCTTTCTATGGCTGAGGGAGTAAGAGAGCAGAGCCTTCCTGCTCTAACATACTCAGAAGAGACAAAGATTTGAAAATACCGAGGGCCACGATTAGCTTACGGAAAGCTGTAAGAGCTGCCTAGAAAGCCTGGCATTCCAAGCCACCATCCTGCATGGGCTCATGCCATACATCATGGGTGTTAAACAGCTCCCAAGCTAGATCCAGCCTAGGTAGCCACTTTACCCAGCTTGCTGGACAACAGGTGTGGCTTAGGAAACTGGCCTGCCACAAAATGGTGATTGGATGCAGGGGGCCAAGCATAGGGCTAACAGTCGCTGTTGCCCACTTGCCATTTTGCTAGTCACCAGTGCCAGCCTCTGCCCTGTGTTGGAGCTGCCACTGTGGCAGGGGGCACATAGCAGTGGCAGCTCTGGTGTGGGGCAGGCAGCTGCTCCTGTCCAGAGCTGGAGTTGCCACCACCACCACTGCCTGCTCCTGTCCAGAGTTGGAGCTGCTGCTGCCGCCACATACTTTGAGTTGGAGCTGCCACCACTGTGCTGGCTTCCTTGTGTCCCTGCTCAGATCCAGACCTGAGCACAAGGTGAGTTCAACAGCCCTGCTGTAAATGAACCAGGTTGATAATCTCCACTTTATGCCAGGAGCAGTATGCATCTAAGAGTGTTTTGGTGGGGAGGCGGGGAGGAAAGCTGGGGTGGAATCAGTCCCGCAGTGCAATCACCCATCTGTACAGCTCTCAAACCAGGGTGTGCTCGATGCCTGTTTTGTTGGTGCATGATGTAACGAGATCCCAGCTCAAGCCAGCACAGTTAGGCCGGGACTACAGTTGTGACAAGGGAAGAGGGCTTTGACACTGAGGTGGGAGTCATTCTGCCTTCTGCCCCCAGGTGATGCCCACAAGTCTGCCACAAGGCTCTGGTGGCAGCAGCCCCCTGGGCATGGAGACAAGCTACAAGCCAGAAAGGGTTACTGTTTAAAACCAGAGCCTGGAGTCAGTCTGAGCCATAGCCAGGCCCCACCCTAACAGCACAAGCAACTGGAGCACAACCTGGGTGTTAAGGACTGTGGCTAATCTCTAAGGAGACAGAGGCCACAGTGACCACAAGACCACCTGTCAGGAAGCCCTGCCTTACAGGCTCCATAATGGCCCGCAGCCTCACCCCTCTCACTTGCAAGCAGATTTGCAAAACAGTGCTGCATTTTCAGCTCCCAGCAGCAGGCCTACCTGGCAGGAGATGACATATTCGACCCTCTAAGTCATAACACAACTGTGGCAGCCATCCTGCTTTACTGCAGTGTTAGTCTGAGGCGGGGGAGGACAGTAGTCAAATGCAGCGAGTAACAGGGCCCTCACCTGTGCAATGCTAGTGGGTTAGAGCCAGATAGCAGCTTAACCTCCCCTGCACTAGAGGTTCCTGTTTATGAAGTAGTATTTCCAAATTAACCAAAAGTGCCTGCAAAAGGGGAGGGGCGGGGGTAAATAGATGCAGTCACTGGGATGAAACACCAGTGTCCAGAGCTGTCTATAACATGGGCCACACTGCTTTGGTGAGAGGGCAGATGTCTGACAAAATACTCCCTTCTCTTCTTTCTTTTAAGGGGGTTTCTCCCCTGCCTTTGGACTCCTATTGCAGCTTTTCTAGCAGGTGGAACTTGCTCCACAGGCCACACCAAAGAGATGGGGTTAGTTCAGATTTGTGCCTAGCATTAGCTAAGCTAGGTTTGCTCCCAAGGCTGTGGGCATTAATGGCTTGGGGGCAAGGCATCTGATCCACACAGCAGTTGTGTGCAATTCCTGCAGAAGAAACAGAAAACAGCCCCTTGCTCTGGCTGGCTGCGGCCCTCTGTTGGCTGAATTGAGACCCATTCACTAGGGCTGTGCGAATGTTTGGTAGCTGTTTCGACTCAGCGGAGATTCAGCCCAATTCAGGGAGCAAATCTCCAAATCGAATCGGGACACCAAGTAAAAGCTCAGAATTGATTTGAAGCATCCAAATAGATTTGGAAAAAGATTTGGCCAATTTGGGGATTCGGCCATAGACTTAAACAGGCAGCCTCCAGCTGGTAAGTCTGTTGGGGTTGCGGGAGGGAGGAGGGATTGGAGCTGGGACAAGCTGCCCAGTGAGGGCGGGGAGGGTGCGTTACTCGGGGATGGGGGTGTGGGATGAAGGTGCAGCAGCACTGGGAGTGGGGGCTCTGCCCTGCTGCTGCTTGCCCAGCCGGGGCAGTGCGGGGAGGGCAGGCATGGCTCGCTGCGGGCAGAGGGGGGCAAGTGGCAGCAGGGCAGAGCCGCACTGGGAACGGGGACTCTATGCTGCTGCTGAGTGAGCTGTGCAGCATGGCTTGGCAGGGCACTGCACACTGGGAGCTAGGGCCACAGGGGCTGAGTGGAGAGGTAGGCTCTCCTGTAGCTCCTCTGGCTGTGCCTCCCTCTCCCCGGGCGGGGGGAGCTGTGGGAGAAGTTTTGGAAGTTTCGGCACTGATTCGGAGAGCACAGCCTGCCTCTCCCCAACTGATCTGAGTCACCGAATCTCTCCAAATCAGTGCCAAATCTTCCAAAGCCAACTCTGTCCAACTGATTCAGGACAGTGATCTGAATCTGAATCACTGTCCTCCAAATCAGCCAAATCTGAATTGAATACTTCCGTATTCGCACGGGCCTACCATTCACCTGTGTGCAGGCAGAGGCTTGGGCTTGCTTGTTGCCACCTGTGCCTGGGCCAGCAGAGCTGAAGTACTCCAGGTTGTGGCCAGATCATGTTGTGGGTGCTGCTGCAGCTGCTGACAGCTCTGGAAAGGCAGGAGGTAGAGCGCAAAGCACAGCACAGGGAACAGCCACACTGCAGAGCCCAGCCTTGCATTGGAAACAGGCTTGGTACAAGCACAACAGGACAGTCACTGTCCCATGGAGAGTCTTCAAATTCTCTCTGGTCTTTCTGCCCAGGAGGACTGCAGGCAATGATGATGAGGGAGGGTTTTGTGAACAGGGATTTCTGTCTGGCTGGATTTTGCACTCCAAGGTCTGAGGCTGATCCCACAGATTATGACCCGCAGCCAACTTGGAACCCAGCTTCATGCTTCTTCCTGGCCTGGGAAGTGAAAGACTTGCGCACAGTGTGTTTTCTGGGGCCATGGGATCACTCCCAGGCACTTCATATGATTGTTACGTTAGTCAGGGGTAAGCAAGGCCCTGTCACTGCAAGGGTAGAGTTTGAAACCAAGTCACCTGCAGGAAGCCAGGCTGAAAGTCCAGCCAGGGGCTTAAGGCAAAGTAAGGGGGGAAATGAAGCCTTGGTTGGTACAAAACCACATGGCACAGGCCCAACACTGCTGGCCTTCCACAGAAAAAGAGAAATAAAACCAAGAACCTGAAAATGAAAAGGAGCATGTTCTAAGGGGAATTTGCAGCCAGCCCAGGTGGGGAAGTGCACGCTATCCCTCACAGCCTTGACACAGCACAGGGCACGTGGCTGATGCATAAGTACCACTCAGGCAAAAAACATCCCCGTGTGCAAGCACCAGCAGACCGCGTAGAAGGTGTGCATGTCAACAAGTACTTGAAGGACAATCAGAAATCGACCTTTGCTTGCTCTGCACTCCCAGTTCCTTGCTCAAGGCCCAGGCTGAGAGCACCGTGAGAAGCCAGCCTGTCTGAAACATCCCCAAAGGCAGAACCACTGCCATCAAGCATGGAGCAGCTCCAGCCACAGCTGTTTCAAAGGACTGTGGGCTACACTCACTTGAATCTCCTGTGTCCATTGTCAGACAACGGCAGGACTTCCCTTAGCCATGTGCTGCACAGCCTCCCCGACCTGC